CAGGGGTTTAGTTTACAACAAGCCTTTGATTGAAACAGTCCCCTTGAGCCACCAATTGACTGGACCCAGCCCTGGCTTTTAAGACATCCCTGTGCATGGTTAAGGCTCTGTGGCTTAGTTCTCTACCATCTAATCACCAGCAATGGGCCTCTTGGTGTCCCTATCAGCTCTGTGCCTGTGCCTTCAGCGAGGCCTCTTCCAACCTTGCAACCTTTAAAGCCCTTCAGTGCCATTTTGTAACATTTATGTGATGGTGAAGTATGATCTAAGAGTTAAGGTTAGCAACAAAAGATTCCGTGACTGCCAATGGCCACTGCCAAGTAAAATTAGTGATCTTCAGCATATTAAAGATGGCATAATTGTTGCAGCTTCTGAATTTATTGTAAAAATGCAAGCGTGACAGAATATATAGCTTATTCACTGCAGAGAACCATTCTGCAGTAGACCTTTTCGCTTTCTATCACCATTACATTATTTTTGGCCATTCACATTTCTGCACTGGTGTCCATGTCCATTTTCCATTCAGACTCAATATAGGAGGAGACAAAGCTTTAGGGGCTGGAATAATAGCTTAGTGGTAGAGTACTTGCCTGCTATGTACAGTACCCCTGTACTGCACACACATTCATATGTACATACATGCATACACACACACACACACACACACACACACTCACTGAAGCCCAGGTTTCCCTGAGGTTTTTTTTTTTTCATGTTTATTCTGAAGGATCTTGTATCATGTAAAAATCTGGTTAAATAAATCCATTATTCCTTTAAGTTCCTAATTTCTTCTTCTTATTAGATTGTTAATCTTGACCTCTGATAGGTAAGAAAAGATATTGCCCAGTTTTGTTCTACACTGAAGAAAATTTGTCAAGTGAACTAAGATGCCTCCTGGAAAAAATTAACAGAGAATGAGGCAAAGGTTAACAATGGTCTATTAAAAAAAGAGTGAAAGACCAACTGTAGAGCTTCACTGATGTGGATAAATCTCAGCTTTACAAATGTTTGCATTTTGTTCTGTCTGTCTGTCTGTCTCTCCTCCTTCCCCCCTTCCTCTACTTCTCTCCTTCTTCTTTATATTTTATGTCAAGAAAACCAGAGGCCCAGGGCCAAGTCTAGCCAAGCATATATACCTTTATAAATATAGTTTTACTGTTACATACTATGTCCACTCATCTACATAGTGTATATGAACTCCAGCAAAGTAGTTGTGTCCAGGCCATATGGCCACAATACTGTACCACACTATTTGCTCTTTCTGTAAAAAGGTTGCTGACTCTGTGTTCTACATAACTGTCAGAGGCTGCATTTCAGTGACCTAGGCCCCGAGACCGCAGGAAGTGCTGACTAGACTTTATGCTGCATTTGGTGCTCAGCTTCTCAGCTTTCTGCTGTGTGTTAAAGGAAAGAAGACAGGCTTCCACGGGAGTCTAATGAAGCAGAGAGTGGTCCTATGTGCAGCAAGTTCTCAGGATGTCTCAATTGCCACAGAATGGGAGACTTGGGACAGGTGACTGATGTGTGCACCCGGGAAGGAAGGAGGGAAGAGGTGAGGCATGTCAAAACATCACTCTTCTGAAGAATGCTCTAGAGTCATTCTGCAATTTAACTTGTAGAGGACGGAATCCTGCTGGCAAGTTTTGAGTGAACTGCCTGCTGTCCTTAGAGACTTTCACGCTGCTCCTGTTGACTTGGATGGGAGTAATGGGGCATTTTGTCCCACGACATCTGTGCTGGCTTCAGGCTATTTAACAAACTCCTACTAAACAAATCCCAATAAAGTGCTCTTTAATGGGTACTTAATTCTGTTGTAGAGGTGGGTGCTGAGCACACCTAAGTCCTTCCTTTTCCTTCAGCTTTGCTGTTTCCTCCTGTTTATGGCTTGGTAATTACTATACCAGAGAACCCTGAGTTAAGCACTATTAAACCCACTCAGAGTCACCGAATGTCTGCTTTTATTGATCTCAGTTGATCCACTTACTCTCTAGGTTCCGATTTAACAGTTCAATTGATTATTCATTTACATTTTTAATGTTGTAGGCATCATCATTTTGTCATGAATCATCTCTCACTTATTGGGTAACACACAAAATCATTGGGATTTTAATTTCAGCAAGAATTTATTGAGCATATGAGCTCAGGTGAACAGAGCAAGAATTACAAAGGTCATTCGACTTTATGGTCAGCAATGGCCAAAATGATGTGCTGATGCTTTTGCTGTGCAAAACGGCTGTTACTGATAAGTGGGTTCTGTGGTGTTAGGGGTGCTTAGAACGTTTATTTTATAACTTCCCCTTTCTAATCATATTTTGTCTACATATACCTTAAAATATAGAATGTCCCATATCATTGTTTGACCTTATTCTTACACACAGGTGTTTCTATAATTTATTTTCTTTTTAGATGACTTAGTTTTCCAGAGGATGTAGAAAGAATAAGGGATTATGCCAAGGAGAGTTCCTTAGAATGAGAGCTGGTTTGATTTTAATAGCTCATGGAACTACTTCACAAACGCAGGCAACATGGAAACATCTAGCTACATTTGTGTTTGCAGAATTACTTTCTACTTGAAGGTCCCTTAAATGTGCTTTGTGGAGTTCATCGGTAATATGCTTCCATCCTGCTCGTTCAGAAGGTGAAAGTAGTACTATATCTGCCAGTGGCTTATCCTTCCCGATAGGGACTGTTTAGTGTATCGTATTTATGAGTTATATGTCTAATCACCTATTGCTTTCGCTTGTTTCTAAAATGAGACGAGGCATAGGAAAATACATAAATGGGTACTTCTGGCCGTAATAGTCACCTTTATCTGACAGTATAAAATGGAGCCAGAGTTTAATGCCGGATAGAGGCGGCACGACACTCATTTTCTAGGAAATAGTATGAGCTAAGGCTTGCTGAGAAGGGAGTGAAAAAATGAAAACGTGCCAAAGACTTGGAAGTGCCTCATTCTGCTAATCTTCACTGCCAATTTCATTAGCCTTATTACAAACCCCGCAGATGGAGAAAAGAGCCATTCTAAGTTCTTGACAAAAAGGTCCGATGGTCAATGGTAGTATTCTTTGTGCATGAAGGTATTGAACTCGTTTCCAGGTGCCTGATCTATACCAGGAAGCACATTCTAAGCAAAGCCAGAAATTCAGTTGTTAGGAATGCTTCGCCTCATAGCGATGTAAGCATATCACCGATCAATATTAAAACGTGTAATGTTTCCATCTCCAAAGGTCTTCCCTTCCTATGGCACTCCTGGAAATTTTGAGAGAAATTTGACATTTACCTGTGATCACAGACAATGAGTGCATTCACCAGTTGAATGTTGAGGTCAACCTGGGTTCTGCCCTAAATTACTATATTTTGCAAAACAGGGTATTTTTATTATTTGTTTTCAGACTGCTTTGCCCTTGGAGATCTTCTGTAGAAATTTACTACCAGGTTCTGCTTTGGCCTCTTAGATCTCTGAAACTCTTTGCCTAAGCCTTTACAACCGTGCTATAATTTACATATATTCATTTAGAGATGGATAGACTGGATGACATATAAAATATAATTTGATAATTAACATTACTAATCCAGATTGGAAATAAACAACAAGAAAGACTTGTGCTTGCCTCTTCCATAAATATCAAGTAAAAGGCGATTCTCTGGCAAATTGCTGCTAATGAAATGCTGTGTCTTGTGAATTTATTGTTACTCAATAAATTCTGACATTGTGGAAAGACACAAATGTATTTGTTGATGTTTTAACATTGCACACTTAGAAAGAGGACTTAGGAAGAAGTTGGGGATTGTTAAGGGCTGGACTTTTCATCAAACCTCATATGAACAGAACGTAGACAGAGGAGGTAACTCAACATTGAACTAAATTTGGGACTTTAATATGTAGACAAGGGTGATTCATTGGTTCACCTTAAACCAAAGGGAGGAGATGGTAAGATAATTAGGGCTTGCAAGACACCTCAGTTAGTAACCGGTCTGGTGTGCAAGCATGGAGACATGGGTTTGGATTTCTAGTTCTCAAGATAAAAGATGGCCATGCTTTTGTGCATTTGCAATCCCAACATAGCTATAGGAACAGAGACAGGAGGAGTTTACTGGCTAAGCAGCCTAGCCGAATCAGTGAGCTCTAGGCTCAGCGAGAAAGGAGACCCTGTTCAAGAAAAATTATGGGGAATAATCTAGGAAGACAGATATCAACCACTGACTTCTTTGTGCCCGTGCACGCACTCACGCACGCACGCACACACACACACACACACACACACACACACACACACACACTCACACACTCACATTGCATTCACATGCTAACAAAGGAACCAGAGCTTCAAAAAATTTGAAGTAAGAACAGAAACCGAAAGGGAAAGTGCCAGCAAACCTAACTTCAAAGCGGCTAGGATCAGAGACAGTATCTCCCGATAATTAGATACCATCTTCTGTTCTTCATCCTAAAATAAGCAGGTCAAACAACCGTATCCTATTGGTTCATTTAAAAAGGGCTTATTGAGTGTGCTGTAAGATGGCTACAGGATGAGCTCTAACTGCAGCACTGCCTAGAGCCACAGACCAAGCTCCAGAAGTTTGTGCTGGGCTCTTCCCCGGGATTCACAGTCCCTTTCCCAGGAAATAGTTCACTGCAGAGGCATAATGTCTGGTTTTGTCTGATTGTGATAACTTTTTGTAGATATACGCATAACTCTCTTTGTTAGACATGAATTAGGTCCCTACAACTGCAATCACCCTCTCAGCAGAGGTGCACTAATGGAATCCCACAGTTTGCACTGTAATAGATCCCAATGTATATCTATAAGATGATGTATTTTTAAAATCCTACATTTTAAATTTGCTAAATTTGTTAAATTCACTCTACATGGCATTCTAAAATTCCTTTCGAATTCTCAGTTAGCTTGTGGGAGAGAGTATTTCTGTACACACCACCTGACAAATCCCATGCCTGTTAGAATGAACATGGCCAAGGAGGGCTTGCATGAGTCCTATACCTGTGCTGTCTTCATACACCACAGTCACTGTTTTCCAGTTGTAATAGAGGACCAGGTCCAGGACTGCCCTGCTGATAGCTGCGTAATCTGGGTAGAGGTTGATGTAAAATAAGTCTCTGTTGTCCACCGAGGGGTGTTTCCAGCGAGTCTGAATGTGTGGAACTTCCAGAGCATTGCAAATGGACTGCACAGCACTCACAGACGAGCTGTGGGAAGGGCCAAAGAGGGCGGCCACACCGAGAGCCAGCTGGTCGCAAGCTGATCACATCCAAAGACAAGAAAGGCGATGGGGCGGAGGGCGGGGAAGGGGAGGGAGAGAGAGAGAAAGAGGTGTATGAATTCACGTTTTCATTAAGTGATTTCTCTAATCAACTCCAAGAGACCTCCTATAATTCCCATCTGTGTTTTGATATCTGCTCTTTCCAGCTTCCAATATACTTTAGATAATAAGATTCTGATAAATGCAGATGTAGAGCCAATCAGAAACCAATCACAGGGCCCACTCCCTGAAAATAAAATTTAGCTACTGGTCTCAGTTCATTACCTTCAATCAGATGAAGGCTAAGTCCTTTGCTTGATCGCTTGAGTACTCTGTGAGCTAACTAGCAAACCATTTGTCAAGGGAGTGGCATACGAATTGAGTTCTGTCATATGGCAGGGTGACAATGGGGAGATTAGTATGGTCAGAGAATCCAGAAGCCCCCGTGGGTGACCATAAAATGCTTTGACTCCAATCCTTCTGAAACATTTCAGAAAATTGAAATATTGCTAAAATGTCCAAATAAGCGGGGCTGATAGCTAATTAAACTTCAGAATAACGGAATGGCATGGTGTAAAGAGATCTTTGGAAGACACTTGAGTCTGCCCGTTCATTTCATGCACAACAGACTTAATCGTGGCTGCTGGGTAGTAACAGAGCTGACTCAGAGCTCGAGGACCCCAGGTCAAGGTCAGGGGTCTTTCTCTCAATTATGAGCCAAACAAAATTAACTCACATGCTTAAAATTTTCTTCCTAACACGTCTTAGCTATAAGAACAAAGGCATCCATTGTAAGAAGTTAGAATATTTATAATACAGGGAAGACCAAAGGCTCTGCATTAGTCTGCCGACTTGGGATAATGCTTACGGATGCTTCACGAAATGGGGATTGCTGGTCATGTGGTACACTGGTGCCTTTATTGAATGAAAAAGCACAATGTTCTCCCTAAGGTCGTACAAACTCTTCAAGAGTGTACTGCTGCTGTTGGGAAAACAGACTGTTGGGTGTGAATGGTGTCATTTATTGAAGTCATTCTTCTGCATTTAAGTATTTTAAACTCCTTTTAATTTTTGACTATAAGTAATATTTCAGTATTGATATTTTTTTCTCTGCATTTTATGGTCACCCAAGGGGGCTTCTGGATTCTCTCTGCATATTAAATTACTTTTTTGATTCTAGATTCTAGGCAGTGGAATTTACTCTCTACTACTAAAAGGTCTTGATATTTTTTAATTATTTGATACATATAAACCAAATTACCTTCCAGAAATACTAGTTTGTCCCCTTCCACCATGAAGAATTGTGTCCAGTAATCATATGTAGGTGAGTGTTAAATATAGGTTTACATGCATCTTTTATATTTACGTTGTAATTTCATGAAATGAATTTTAGAATTAACTGAATAAATTGCCAAGTAATAATAACTGAATACCTAAATTAAATAATTAGATTCATATAAAGGAATTTGTGTTAGGGATTTTATAATTATGTAGTTTTACAAAATTAAGTAGCAAACACCACGTGTTGCTGCAAGTTTCTAGGAGATGATTTAGAGAGAACAAAGAGGACCATTTTGACATCCATGTTGCAGCCGTCTGAGGGGCCGCCGATGTTGACATTTCAGGGACAGTTTCTGACACCGTGTCGCTGAGTGCTGATTTCCCGCACTAGCTATGAGGATGCATGGCTTTCGGCAATGCGCTGAAGGTGTGAGTTGTCACTGTCCTCCAAGCTCACTCGTGGATATGTGTTCATTAGCCAGATGAAGTGTGAGCGCGGGAGCATGCAAATTATCTTAGCCAGCATGAGCGACGGATTGAGATTCCTGTTAAGATGTCCTTACTCTAGGATGCTAATATTTCCTGACAGAAAATCAATTCTTTACAGTTCTGTTTGTTGGAGTGTTTAATTTACAAGTATGGTTGGATCTTCAGATCACAGGAGAGTTCAGCTTTTTTCAATTTTTTTTTGTGGCTCGAAGTTAAGTGATAAACTGTTAAATGTCTCTGTCTTAAAAGTATTGTTCAAAAGTATATGAGAGGAGAGAGAGAGAGTCACAGAGAGAGACAGAGATATAGAGACAGGGAATGGTGCAGAGAAAAGAGAGACTTTGTCCTAGAAGGAATCTTTTCTTTTTTTTTTTTTTTTTTGGAGGCAGAGTTTTGCTATATGGGTCTCAAAAATGTGTGAGGCTGGCCCAAATTCATCTTGGTCTCTTTAAAGAGCGCTGGGATTATAGGCATATACCACCATGTCCAGTCTTCTAAAAGCAGTTATTGCACTAAGATAATGGTATATGTAGATTCATTGTTATTGTATTAATCTTCATCTACTCGATGAAGAAAGGCTCACATTGTGTTTGTGAGTAGCACTGCAATGCCATAAGGCATCTGTTCCAGGCAAGCACGTTCTCTGAGGTCGCTAGGTCATTTCTGTTAACCCCTTCCATTCAGTCACTTGGGAACCACCAAAAACAGGAGTTCATGGCACATGATATGTGTCTGCAAAAAGGCAAAGTGTGTTCTGGAAGGAAAAGGATTTTTTAAAGGCTCAGGATGAGCAGCAACCTTTGTTTCCTCAAAATCTTTAACCTTGTGAATCAGCAATGCCTTAGTCAGAGGCCATGCTTCATGTATATGGAATCATCAGAGAACAGCTCTGGGGGTACCCAGGAAACATCTAAACCAGTCCCTCCATTTTCTAAGACTCAGCCCACATGACGAAGCTTGCAGCCTGCTTATAAATTACTTTTTGAGTATTTGTCTTCTGTTCAGAAGAAAAAAAAAAGAAAATCAAATTTTGATTTGTTCTCACAGATTTAATCTTCATATTTTTATGATTTTTCCAAAAAGTGCAAAAACAATAGCAACAACAAAATGAATAGATGTTAGATAAACCCCGCTGTTTGTAGCAGCCTCTTCTGATCCCAGGCTTGACGTATGTATGTCCTGGGCACTTTTACATGCTTGGTGGATGTGACCTTCCACAAAGTTTTATTTGACTGCATTGTACAATTTCATGGTGGTATCTCAGCTTCGGGAAGGAAAAACAGATCAAGCTTGACATTTTCCATTCACAGCTGAACCAGTTAATCATAGAGTGGAGGGCACTGAAGGAGAAGCTAATCAGAAAGGCCCAGCAAACAGGGCTAGGCAGCGTCTGCTAGGTGAGTCCAGATTGCATTGATCAGTGAGTGACACTGGAGACCAGAAGTTCCTACAACCCATTTGCACTAAGAAGCCTACTTCGAAAACGGGCAAGCAGTGAAAAGGTGACCTGTGTAGCAGACTTATCACCCAAAGAAGCTTCGTAAAGTAGAAAAATAGTTACCTCTTCGGGAGGCTTCAAAACTATCAAAAAGATTAATTCTCTGGATGTCGTAGGTTAATGTGGTGTTAGGCATCAAGGTTCGGTTTCGGTTAATACTGGTGACTGCAAACTTGAAAGCTAATTCTTCAACATTAACGGGTTCATTTTCCACAGTTTCAAAAATCCCTCCTGCAGAAGCAAAAGAGATGCATGAGAAACATTAGACAGGTGAAATATCACTGTGTTAAAAGAAGATTGTAAAGTATAAGCAAAAGACCCAAAATAATAATCACCAGGAGGACCAGGGTAGAGACATAATCTAGGCTGAATGTTTTCAAATTGTGTTACTTGCAAACAAATAGTTCTAACTCCATACATATATGCTCAGGGTTTTAAATCCGGTATTGGATGTATAATACTTCTTAGATGGTGGCTGTATTCCAATTATTGATACCACAGAATCATAGCTAATAACCCAGTAGAAAGCAATTTTCTCTGGTTTTCACAGGAGTTATGTTGTGCTTGACCTAAACAAAATTTAAACTCTATTCTGGTAGGGAATCCTGCCTTGGGATTAAGACTTTTCTACTGAAAGCAGAGTTTCTAGTTGCTGGAGAGATGGCTCTGCAGCTACAAATCGTGTATATGGCTCTTATAGAGGACCCACGCTCAGGTGCCAGCACCCATTCTAGACTGCTCACAGCTTCCTGTAAGTCAGGTTCCAGAATATCTGACACACTGTCAGGCACCTGTGTGCACAACCACCCTGTAGTGTGATTAATAAAAACCCAGAGACAGAAATTGGGGTTCAACCTGAAGATCAGAAAAGTAAAACAACCAGTCACTGTCTCTTACCTCTACCTCAGACCGAAATGGTGATCCAGCCTTTGGGAATCTCAGAATGAAATTGTGTTCCCCCTCCTGTCTTATATTCCTCTCTAGTGCTGATATTAAAGACATGCACCACTACAGTCTGGTTTCTATAACAAACTAGTGTGGCTACTGGGGTTAAAAGTGTGTGTCATCACTGCCTGGTCTGTAAGGCTGACCAGTGCAGCTGTTTTACTCTCTGAACTTCAAGCAAGCTTTATTTATTAAAATACAAATGAAATATCACTACACACCCCTACAGCTCATGTGCACACCCACCCCCAGACAGTCATGTGCACACACACACACACACACACACACTGATGTGCGCATCCCACCCACACACACTCATTTTCACATACCCCAATACACACTCATGTGTACACCCCCATTTATGCACACTCATGTCCACACCCTAATTCACATATACTCATGTTCACACCCCCATTCACACATACTCATGTTCATACCCCCATTCACATACACTCATGTTCACACCCCCATTCACACACACACTCATGTGTGCACCTCATTCACACACACTCATGTGCACACCCCCATGCACACACACTCATCTGCATACACCCATTCACACACACTCATGTGCACACCCCCATGCGCACACACTCATATGCATACACCCATTCACACACATTCATGTGCATACCCCCATTCATACCCACTCATGTGCACACCCCCATTCACACACTCATGTGCACTCCCCCATTCACACATACTCACGTGCATACCCCCAACCACATGCATTTATGTGCATATCTCTACCCACACACATACACATGATTAAAGATAAAAGAAATCTGTTTTAAAGCAGATGTTCTAGATCCTAACTCTAGAGGAACTGGGCAGGGATGGACTGTGACAAAACAGAGTAATCCTTCTCTGACAGTTATCAGAATGAAAACATCTTTTCTAGGTTTTATGGCTCAGATGTCTTGGGTCATATTATGTACATCCTAACATATGACAAAGCATATTGAAAGATTAAAAAAGTGCTATTTTCTGTTTGAAAAATCATTTGAATAGACGCCAAAACAAACTTGTGTTCTAACTCTGGAGACAAGTTCTGTCATGCCCTAGGTCTGTCATCCTAAACATGTGTCTCTATCTCACTACAAACAATATCATGGAGACTCCAACTCTCACTTTACGTGAAATTCTGGTATTGGATAGAATAAAGATATGGTTAACTTATAGTTCTTAATTTTCTTGAAGTGTGCTCCTGAGATTAACCCAGTAAACATAGAACATTTCCTTGAAGTGGTATAAACTGACCTCTATTTAGCGAAGTCCTTGACTTACCCAACTCTTTGCTTCCTCTGGAAATAGGCCACAACTCTCCACCCATGGCATGCTGAATGCTCATAGGCTGCAATTGATCTACTCTCATTGATCCTTATTAAAGGTCAAAATTAGGTATTTCTAAACTTTGTTGACTCAAGTAAGTACACACAGAGAATGAAAAGCACAAGTAGTCACCATGTGCATGATTTTTATTTGTTCTTTCTCAGAAGGGGAAATCCAGTGCACAGATTTTAACTAAATGTAATTAAACTGGCCCTATTTTGAAGGATTAGTTTTTTTTTAAAGCACGTGTATAGCTTTCTGTTGAATTGACTTTATTTCTTAATTAACTATAGTGTCTAGCTATGAGGGCTAAGACCTACAGTAACTTAATTTGGCTTCTTTCAAATGCATTTCTGGCATTTATAGATCAATAGCTTGAACCATTCCTATGTAGATCACTACTATGGTTCTCTATGAAACCATACTTAAGAATAAATGATGATGTCATGCTAACTTTCAACTAAGGACCCAGGGGAGAGAAAGTTGTTCCAAAAGTAGTATCAGAAAATACTTGTGTTTTCCCGCTGACAGTCACAAATGGGGAATTAGGAATGGACCTTTCATTTTTCTCTGGCAGCTGTGAGCAGACGTTGGATTGACAGGTGAGGAGGTCAGGCAAAAAGCACTAAGTGGTCACAGGCAAACTGACGTAAGATAAGCCCATTGCTGTGGTCAAGGTGACCCACACTGAAGGTTTTTGCTATTAGAATTCCTATGGTAGTTATTAGTAATTGTTTGTTTACTAGTTTAATCTTCCAGCCCCAGCAAGAGTTCTGGACAGAATCCATGTCACTTAGAGCCTGACCCCATCAAGACCAAGGCATCTTAAGATACTCAGGTGTTGAAATAGGAGCGGCAGGGCTGCGTCCCCGGCACCCGGCCACCCGCATGGCTAGTTTATACCCAGAAATAATTACACGGAAACTGTATTCTTTCAAACACTGCCTGGCCCGGCTAGGTCCAGTTTCTTATTGGCTAGCTCTTACATATTGTTCTAACCCATTTCTAATATTCTGTGTAGCCCATGAGCTGGCTTACCAGAGAGGATCTTAACCTGCGTCTGTCTGGAGTGGGAGCATCATGGCGACTCCTCCTAAGCTTCTTTCTCCCAGAATTCTCTTCTGTCTACTCCGCCTACCTAATTTTCTGTCCTATGAGGGCCGAGGCAGTTTCTTTATTATTAACCAATGAAATCAACAGATAAGATACAAGACCCACCTCCATCACTCAGGCTGCAACTATTTAGGGAGAAAGTCAACCTCAGCCTGTGAGGAGAGCAGCAACTCAGTGAGCAGGGCAGGCTGTGGGAGGGGATATACTCCCAGATAAAGAGTAGAATTCATGAAATGTGGACTCTGACTTAACCTAATTCTTTGAGATTTTTAAGTTGTGGGAGGAAAATCATCCTAGAGTAGCTCTTCCATGTAGTTTTCATCAAGACTTTATAACTAGAATGCCAAGTAGGAGATATTTCTCCTGTCTTCGTCAATGAAAGAGAAAGAGATGGCACACATTGTCCCCAAATAATTCAGCCACAAGACTCATCTGTGACAAACTTGGAGGTCTGACTGTCAGCATATGAGTGTGTGTGCTCATGTTTTCACATCACCGAGCTATTTATGCTTTGTCACTTCTAAATGAGAATGATAATTCTCCATTACTCCCTGCTCTATAAAGCAAATTGGTAAATTCAGACCAATACTTTGAAAACATAATTATTCCCTAGAAAAGGGTTGATATTATTGAACATTGCTGATGGCAATACAAACCAGTTGTTACCAATTTTGAAACTTGGTGCTCAGTTCAAAATTATTCCTCTGGTCTACAGTTGGCTTTCTGCACACAACTGAATCTGCTTGGGTTTAAGAAAGGTATTTGCTTATTTTTGTGTATTTAGTGTTGCTGTGGGACAATGGTCTTTTACCCTGTAAAGATTTGTCACTTGTATTGCTTTAATAAAATGTTGATTGTCCAGTAACCAAGCAGGAATTATAAATGAGAACAGGAAAATTCTGGGAAGAGGAAAGGCTCAGTTTGCTGTAATCACCTAGACATAGAGGAAGCAAGATGAGAATGCCTTGCTGATAAAAGGTACCAAGCCATGTGACTAACACAGACAAGAATAATGGTTTAATATATTAGAATGTAAGAGTTAATAAGAAGCCTGAGCTACTAGGTCAACCATTTTATAATTAATATAGATCTCTGTGTGTTTCTTTGGGATTGAAAGGCTGCGGGACTGGGTGGAACACAAGCCTCTGTCAACAAAATGGTGCCTACATGGACAACTACATCCACATAAAACCTAAGAGAGTTTGGGAAGTAATACTAGACATAAAAGAACAGAGTTAAACATGGCTTCTTAGTAGCAGCCTTTTGTGGATGGGTTCTGTCAACATAGTGTGTAGGTGAACTCCATTTTGTCATTTTAAGGGAAATTGCTGTGTTTCATTTACCTGATGAGAGCTATTCATGGCATTCCTAGTTTAGTACCATGCCATAGTCTCCTTTTTCTCTTAGAAAAGGCATCTGATAAATATCACAAATCTACAGTAATGTGATGTGTATGGACTGCTAGGGAAGTACCAAAAACACAGGATCTGCTGAAAGAGAAATTGTTAACAGAAGCAAGACAGATCCCTCAGAAGGTGCATATAGGCACTTATGGTTAGCCTCCGCTCCAGAGTTTCAGATTTGTTATGTGGAGTGGTTAATTAATACATGGAGCAGAGGAACTCGTGCCTAGGGATATTTGTGCGACTCATTTTACCTCTCTCTCCTCATCCCTCCCTCCCCTTTCCCTTTTCTTCCTCCTCTTCCTTTTCCTCTGCTTCCTTTGCCTTCCCTCACTTGTCACACTACCTTTTTCTCCCTCTCAGCCCTGACTGTCCTGGAACTAGCTCTTATAGACCAGGCTGGCCTTGACCTCACAAAAATCCACCTGTCTTAGCCTCCTGAGTGCTGGGATTAAAGGTGTGTGCCACCACCACCTATTGGGCTTTTAAGAATCATGTTCTAGCCAGGTGGTAGTGGGAGGCAGAGTCAAGTGGATTTCAGTGAGCTTGAGACCAGCCTGGTCTAAAGAGTGAGTTTCAGGACAGGCTCCAAAGCTATACAGAGAAACCCTGTTTTGAAAAAAAAACTGACAAAAGAATCATCTTCTAGTGTTCTGTACAAGATGTTTGTGCTATTTTCATGGATAAGGGAACAACCATATTTCAAATACATACCAAAATAGGTAAGAGTTTGGAAAATATTGTGTGTATTTAGACTTGATTTTCAAAGGCCTGTGGGTTTCTTATGTCAATATTCTCCCACTGTGCTTTGGAAGAATAGAAGTTGGCACAAATAAAGCTTACATTTACTTATACTGGTATACTATATAAATATTGTACTCTATGCTCCTGTTTTTGAGCACAGCTACCAAACACAGTCACTAAATAAAGACTATAAAACAAAGAGTATTTCCACGATTTTGAGTAAATTTGAATTTAAATCCTTCTTGTGTGTGTATGTCATTATTACAGCCTGAGGTGTTTCCATTCCCAGTCCACATGCTGAATCCCTAACCTCAGCACCCAATACCTGAGAACTAACCATATTTTAAAGTGTGATTAGGTTAGGATAAAACAACAAGTGTGTTCCCTGACCTAGTCTGTTGCTGCTAGAGAAACGAAATTGGAGGGACTGGAAAGATGGCTCAGCAGCAGAGAGCATTTCTTGCTTTCTGAGGATCTGGGAGTTTGAGTCCCAGTACCTGTATTGCAGCTAACAAGCATTTGTAACTCCAGTTCTAGAGGAAATGACACTTTGTTCTGACCTCTGCAAGCAGTGTGTGGACATGGTATATAAATACACAGGCAGGCAAAATACCCATACACATCAAATAAAATGAAGTAAATCTTCCAAAAGGAAAAAGACACTGGGATTTCATGACACCCTCATATAATCATATGAAGTATATACCTTCATAAAATCATTCGGAGGATAATCTATACGAGGACAAAGAGAAGGAAAATGGCAATCTGCAGTCCATGGAGAAGATGAGCCCACTTTCCTTAATCCTGTACTTCCAGCCTCTACGACAGTGAAAAACTATACATCTCGTCTGTCTTTTAAACCACTTAGTCTGTTTGGTTGTTTGATTAATTGGTGGCTTTTGTTTGTCTTGTCCACCATAAGGAAGCTAGTGTGCTCATCTTGTCCTTTTACCTCAAGGAATTTAAAATAGAAAATTTTAACGGTTTAGTGTCAATCACTGATGGAGGAGGGTCATTGGTTAATTATAATAAACCAACTGCTTGGCCTCATAGCTTAGAACATAGATGGGAGGAGTAAACAGAATAGAATTCTGGGTGGAAGAGGAAGTGAGGTCAGACTCTGTTCTGCTCCCGGAGAGACAGACAGCTCTGCTCTCTGGAGCAGAGACACCATGCTCAGCTCTCCCAGGCAGCTCCAACCCAGGATGGACGGAGGCTAGAATCTTCCTGGTAAGCGCACCTTGGGGTGCTTACACACACCGTTAGAAATGGGCTAGTCCAGGTGCAAGAATTAGCCTGTAAGGGCTAGAGTTCATGGGACAAGTAGTTCTTTAAATGAATACAGTTTGTGTGTTGTTATTTCGGGCATAAGCTAGCCAAGTGGCTGGGGTGTTGGGGACGCAGCCCCGCCGCTCCTATTTCAACAAATCACTTTTTTATCTGAACAGCTGTCTCTTCTTGGGACTGTAGTGTAAGACAAACAAAAGAAAGGTCGGGGTAATCCCATTTAAGAGGTGAATTCTCCAATCACAGTGCATTTGTGTTGATGCTGCTGCACCTTCCCTTGGCAGTCACTCACGGGGACCACACATAACCATATCTGCACGTAGAGGAGGTTGCTTTCCGGAAGTAATGGTGGGTGTGGGATGAGAAGAGGTCAACACGGAGCTTTTGATTTGCACCAAGTAATTCCATGCAGACTTTAAGAGACTTGTCTACCATGATAAATCCTTCTCCGAGTGGACTAACAACATGAAGACTGCAAGCGAAGGGAGGCACTACGAGAAGGCTGAGAATAAATGCCCTATTCCAGGAGTCTTCTGAACATACAGCCCTGCCATGGTTCATATGTCAGCTTTCTTTCACTATAATAAAGTGCCTGAGGTAATTTATTTATAAAAAGAAAAGGTGTATTTTGGCTCAGCGTTTGGGAGATTCTTGCCTGTGATGTATTGGCTCCATAGCTCTGGGTTTATGATGAAACAATAGATCATGGTAAGAGTGCTTGGAAGATAAACTGCTTGCTTTGTGACCAGAAAGCAAAGAGGGGAAGAGTAATGACCCCTTTGAGGAAGTTATTCTGATGACCTAAGGGCTTCCCATAAGGTTGCGCGTTGCAAAGGTCTTCAGCACCCTGAACAGTGCCACTCTGGAAACCATACCTTTAACGAATCTATCTTTTAAGTCACATACAACATTAGAAATCTAACAAATAGTTTTAAACATTTTCCTGATTCACATGTCATCCTTTCAGAATTGTAATGGAAGATGGCTGAACAAGCATTGTGAAAATTCTCAGCTTTGCTCGAGAGCCAACTATTTCTTTATTTTCTTTTTGGCTTCCAAGGGTATTCAATAGTTATCTCTGTTTCCTGCCTTCTAGTCACAGTTACTATAGAGCAAGGAAAGCATGGTGGAGATATTAAGGACCTGCCTGGAGGCATAAAGCCATGGACCTTAAACAATATAAGAATATAATTGCCCATCATTATACCTGGCTCCTTCCACAAGGGTTTAACTGAATGATGAATGAGAAGTGTAACAATTACTCATGTTCTCCTTCCAAAACCACTAAGTAATTCAGTCATGGAATTTACTTCACTTTACGATGACAAAACCACATGAAAATCAAGACTTTAAGTCCTGTTCCTATAAAAGGAATATTGTTTTGACTTGGCTTGACTTATAATAGTAAATATAGACTCCAATAGCCATTTTAGAAATGTATTAGATTTGCACTGTGAGTGCATACATATGAATATATACATGCACACATATATGTATATATACATAAACTTTGGCTGATTTTATATGCTATGCTCCCTAAATATTTTGCAGAATTTAATAATTCATCCAATGATTCATTGTTTCATCTAGTCATGTATTTATAAAATGCTTTGTATGTTAAAAATCAGAGTTGTATGAGGCCCTGTGATTACACCCATGTAAAAGTGAGATG